AAATAATTTAATACAACCAAAGTAAAATTCAAGGAGAGAAGGGCTTCCATCGGTGGAAGGGAGGGAGAGGAGACGGTCTCGAATGAGTCGATCAACGGAGACTCTTATGGCGCCGGAAGTTGAAGAGATGTTCTTGAAAATCCTTGAGTTGCGCTCTTTCCAAATCAGATAAACTGCCGCTTGGAAGAGGAGTTTGATGATGACTGAAGCTGAAGCATGAGGACTGGGTCGAGGCTGGAGAATCCAAGTTATAACCGAGGATAGATCTAGAGGAGGATTCTGCCAAATCCGAGAAGCTAGATCTCGCCAAATGTCCCGAGAAAACTCACAATCAAAGAAGAGGTGGTCATGTGTTTCCGTTCCGGAGATACACAGAACACATGCCGCCGGGACATTAAGTCCCCAATTCCGAAGCCTGTCCTTTGTTGGAAGCCTGTTCTGCACTGCCAGCCAAGTAATGAAAGAGCATCGAGGCACAAATTCTTTGAACCAAACTGTCTTAAACCAATTAACAGCTGGAGAGTGATCTCTAAGTTGCTCCCAAGTCGACTTGGAAGAGAAAGTTCTCTTATATTCCCCCGCTCTGTTGCGCCATAGATAGATATCAGTTCCACGTTGTGCCTCCGGCGCAGACATTGTTGTGAGAAAAGTTTGAAATAGCTCCATCTCCTCAGATCGAGCTCCACGCATACTCCATTGCCCATTTCTAGCCGCATCGTCTCGTAGTTAAACTACTGATCTTCTCGAACGACTTAAGAAGAAGCATCCATCTCATTCAAATTAACCAGGTTAAGTTGATGTTAGATATATTAACTTCAAATGTGTTTACAAAGTTAACACAACATCCCTAAATGTTTTTAAACAGTTAAATCATAAATGAGATATTGAGATCACTGGAGTATATCAGTAGCCGTACGTAGTAATGAGACTTTGAGATGTCCCTAAATGTTTTTAAACAATTAAATGTAATCGAACGTTATAAATGTCACTAAATATATTACTTTATGATTTTAAATTTCTTTTACGAGAGAGTAATGTGACTTGGGCGTCTCTGGGAAACGGTTTTCTTGACTCAAAACTCAGAAGCTACTGTAGTTATGAAAAATATATTAAAAAAAGAATGCGGTGAGCGTGGATCGAACACGCGACCTTCAGATCTTCAGTCTGACGCTCTCCCAACTGAGCTATCCCCGCAACTTGATAGTCTTTCGTTAATGTTTTATATATCTGTTACTTACGAAATCTTTACGCAAATATACTACCATTCGAGAACCAAGGTACTGTTTTGGACCGAATCAAAAAACCAATCATTGATTGTCTTTGCTTGATATTGATTTGTCTGCTTTCTATTAAACTCAATCTTCCAGAGAAATAAGGGAATAGCTTCTTCCTTGATGGCACTTAATTATTCCAGATTGTTCCACACACCTTGACCTTGATGATTTGCTATGAGTAGGACTAGAAGTTGACGAGTTGACTAAGGCCATCTAGACATAAGGGATCAGTGCTTAGCTTATATTCATATTGATTATCTGTTGGAGTGAATACGATCTATCACGTTTTTGTATAAATTGTCTCGTTACCTGTCCCAAGATACTCAACTTATAAACATTTGTACTATCCGAATGCGTAGTATGCAAAATGTTTGAATATCATCACTTATTCAAATTACACTTGATATCAGATGTTCAAATTCTACTTTGATAATCTAATGGACATGTACTATAGTGATTCGTACTAGTGCTTCATTGTGTCAGCACCAAAAATGTAAACGGAGGAATACATGTTGCTAACAGATCATATATAAAAAAAAAAATTATAATCACTTGGTATAATGCAAAACATCAAAATGTTCTCAAATTAAAAATCTAATGGCTACTGTAATTGATGGCAACAAATTCAAAACAGTAACGTTGTGTGAGTTACTATAAAAATTGAACTTCCAAAAGCAAAAATGAACTTCCATATAAAAATTGATATATACATATAATCGATTTGGACCTACCAACTGCAAGTTATAGAAACACCATTAGGAAGCTGAAGAGAAATATTCAAACTTCCCCCTTGACCCCTCATAAAAAAAACGCACAAATGTTTTTATTTTGTAAGGAACTTTACCCAATTGGTGAATTTCTACCAAAGAGTTTGGACCACTTCAACATTAGAAAAATCGAATGTTGTTGACAAGAATACAACTAAAATGTATATAAACCATGTAAGGAGCAAAATAAAACAGAATTCATCTGCATCAATAAGAAAAGAATCACAAGGATGAAATGTTTTTATGATTTCCATTTCCAGTCATAGAATAAAATGTAAATTGAAAGAAAAAAAGATAAGATTTATCTTATTTATCTTTTGAATAAGTCTGTAATACACAATTTACGGACCACAATACTTACTATCAGAGTTACTTCTGCGAAGGTTGCTTTGCTGTCCAATGACTTGGTCAGAGCCTTGTAAAGCACTAAAACCCTGGAGATTCCATGAACGAGGCATGTTGTTTGCTAGAAGAAGGATATGTTGCGTTAAGATACCTTTGGATACTGTTCTCACTGAAGCAGAGAGACGCTACAAAAAAGAGATAGAAAAAAAAAGACAATGAGCAATAAATACCAACACAACTATCATGACTTCAAATTAAGGGTGAGGGATTAGATACCTGAGCTATTTGCTCAAACGTTGAAGCAATTCCAAGAAGCTCTTGCACTTGCTTCATAGACCAAGGGATTGAACGTCTTGTGTCTATGAGGTGAAACACGGGTAGATAAGAGTCTACCACAACTCTCCAAGCATCACCACTTTTCTTGACAGCAAATTTCTCAGAAATGACCTCTAAAACCCATTCTCCCTTAAATGCATCACACTCTTCAACCCTCTCCTCTGGCCTTTTCCATATAATCTTTACGGAGGAGATCCGTGGATCACCTACACTGTTGAGATACAGAATGTACAATCACATAATAAGGCAAGACTAGAGAGATAATGAAAACCATGATTCATATATCAGGGAGGGTGGGGCGAGGTGCAAATTTGGTGCAGTAAATTCGAGGTATTAATCAAAACCAACAGTTTTAATGGGCATGTTCTGGAACAATGATGATTTCGTACATCTGATCTCTCTCTCAGATTTGTTGACCCGACAACTAACTGAACTAAGGTACACTGAAAGACCAGATAAATTATCTAAGGGCATTAATCACAATAATTCACGTCTGGAAATACGTAACAACTTAAAATAACCCTACAAGCATAACCCCACCTAAAAAAAAATTAATATGATGACTTTGCAAGATCAAACTACAATAATTCGCTAGTTTTCCATTTTGATTTTTACAAGAATAATGAATGATGTCTTTGCAAGATCAAACTACAGAAATATGGCTTTTACTTTATAATTTGACTTGGTTCAGTGTTGGAAGTCGGAACTATGATGGTTTGGTGCTTGAGAATATATGCTACCGTGTGAGGAAGTCTCTCATTGTCACCAAAGGAGAAACCGTAAGCTGTATTCAATGCGATTATGTGGGTCTGCTCAGTAGTTAATGCAGCTTTAAAACCAACGGAAAAAACCGATTTATTGGTAAATGAGATATCCCGAATTCATTTAGGTTTTTATACCATCTACAATCAAAATTCCATCGCAGGCTTTTTGTGCTACAATTGACATTTCATACCAAAACACACAAAAAACGATCGTAACCGGTTTCTAAAGCATAAAACAATTTAGTTGTTTGTTAACGTGTAATACAGGAAATCTCTCAACACAATGTAAAAATGTTTGAAAATGCATGCAGATCTAGAATGAAGGAGATACAGTGCAGATAACTATTTTTGTTCGTAGTGAGAGGTCATTTTTAGAATTGGTCAATTACTAAGAGACGTCGTCAAAATTAGCTATTGCATTCACGTTAGGTCCGGGAAATTTCAGCAGCGAATAATTCTACATTTCAGGGGCATTCGTTTGCTGACCAGAAGATTAGCATACTATATATAATAAAGTAGGTGCTTACTGTACTAACATGCATTGTTGAAGTTGAATTACAAATGTTATTATCTGATGTAACTTGCTTTAAAAACTATGTGGTTGAAACTATAAATTTATGTGATAAGTTTGTTGTAAGATTATGAGTTAGTAGTTTTGTCATTTGACTTGGTAACTTTTGGTATGTGTTATTACAAATTAATAACATTTTAAATTAATAATAATAATAAGATTTATTATAAATTTTATAATATGCCAAGGCTACTTCCCAAACGGAGTTTGCACGGTGGTGGAAATGGCGGTGAAGAGAACAAAGTTTGGGTCTTAGGATGCGGTGGCAGCTGAGACCGGTGGTCTTTTGGCTGCTGACGTGGGGATTTATAGTTTTAACTGGTGCCTTTCTGTTTTTCGATCCGTTACACTACGACAGATTAATGATATTAGATTAACTTAAGATGTGTTTACAAGACTGTAACGGATTAAAATGCAGTAACATGCGTTGTTGAAGTTTAAATTGTTCCAAATTGTTGGCACTTATTCCTTGATGGCACTTATTCCAAATTGTTCCACACCTTGATGATTTGCTATGACTAGGACTAGGAGTTTACGAGTTGTCTAAGGCCATCACACCTAGACAGAAGGGATCAGTGCTTAGCTAATATTCATATTGATTATATGTGTTGGAGTGAATACTATATTACTATCTATATCATATTTTTGTATTAATTGTCTCGTTACCTGTCCCAAGATACTACTCAACTTATAAATTAACATTTGTAATATCCGAATGGGTATAGTATGCAAAATGTTCAAATAAAAGCATCACTCATTCAAATTACACTTGATATAAGATGTTTAAATTATACTTTGGTAATTTACTGGACATGTACTGTAGTGTGATTCGTACTAGTGCTTCATTGTGTCAACACCAAAATGTAAACGGGAGGAATACATGTTGCTAACAGAGAACAAAATAAAAATCACTGTGTACGTGAGGGGCTATCCAAAATAAGATTTATAACGTAGCGTGCTCAAGACGGAATGCCACAACCGGAGATGTGCTGAGGATTGTCACACGTTTCTGTCTTAATAATTTCCAACACTTGAGTTGGCCTCCCTCTATTAGTCCATAGTTATAGAAGTAAGCTATATTCGATGTCTCTCTGCTGTATAAAAATGAGTTTCCACTCAAACCACAACCATCAGGAAGCTCCTTAGTTGAGCAGGAGACATTTCCAAACGGCCTAAGAAGCAACGCACGGCCACCTATATCTGTGACCACGACCCATTTACCAGCCTCCTCATCTAGCTTACTCACTCTATAATTCCAGCTGGCGATTCTCTCAACCAGGAAAAGTTCATCATTGCCAGATGGAACCAGATAGTGTATTACAACTAGAGGCTGCGAGAGCATCAAGGGAGTCACGTCCAAGGAATAAGGATCGATAACCAGAATTTCCTCTGTGAAGGATGCATAAAATTTGCCTCTAAAAGTGGCTAAATTCAAGCATGCATCATTTGGATGGTTCTTCAGCCGCTTCCACTTCATTTCGGCACTTGTTAATACATACAAAACACAACCGTAGTGGAGAAGCACAACGAACTCTCCTCCACCCTTCTTGGTTAGAGGAATAAAACCAACGCCTCTGCAGTATTGATTAGATTCCCAACCGATTATCCTGTACTGATGGCCCAGAGGGAGGATCTCGCAGTCGAGCATGTTCATCAACCTTGGATCAGATTCTCCTATCTTCACTTTCACTGAGCACTGAGTAGGAGATGGAAGCTCTGTTTGATCCTCTGACTCATCTCTACGGCCTATTCCTCCCATGAAATACTCAGCAGCAGTTGAAAGAGTACGGACTCTAAAGAGGAACAAAGGGATCTTCTCGAGGGTGCACAAGTCTTTATGGTGATGGGGAGCCTTCTCTCTGAACGAGGATAGAGAGTAACTTGGGCGTATTAGGCAAGAAGGAAAAGGGATTGTGGATCGCCACGAGATGCAAACAGAACGAGCATGAACAACGTCGAAACAGTTCTCCAGATTCTCGGCAATAATGTGCAGTAGATCACCAGGCAGAAGAGACCAATCTGGCATGATTGATGATGTCTTCTTTCCAGTTTCAGGTTCTACCATGTTTGGTAATGGAGACATCGAGACAGCTTCCATTTGGAAACCTGAGAGAAAAATTATCATTATATGGTTTAGGAAACTGTATCAGACATTAACATAGAAGATCAATCACCTAACAATCTAATCACCTAACGAAATTCCAGATTCTCCTATGAATCGAACGATTTAGGGAAATATAAATAGGTTTTGTAGTTTCGTACAAAACGAATGGAGAAAGAGTCCGTACCCAAACCCTAGATCAGAAGTTTAGAAAGAGTTTTAAGAGACTTGTCATGTTGTGTGTTATTGATCTCAAAGGATCTATGTTACATACCGATATGTATTATCTACAAATATCTCAGGAAAATCAGCTAACTGTACAATGTCATAAACAACCTCGTTGTCCATCAAATCTCCATTATTAAACAATATACAAACAAGAAAAAACAATTAAAAGAAATAACTCTGATCCAAATCCAAGTATCTCTACGTTTGTATCTCATGAGACAATCACCACAAAATTCCCTGTTGGGATTCTACAAGCATCTTCTGAGTGTAGTTGAGATTTATAAGAGAACGTTTTATTCCCCATGCCCGGCGCATAGGTGACCAAAATTGAGTTCCTGGTCACACCACAACCATGAGGAAGCTCTTTAGCCGAGCAGGACACATTTCCCAAGTGTCCATGATGAATAAACAACACACGGTCTCCCAGATCATTGACCTCGACCCATTCATCCTCCTCATCGTCTAGCCTACTCACTCTACATGCTAACTGACTTAAATCTACTTCAAATCCTAATTCTAGTTCAACAGGAGGGAAAATTATCTCAACCAGGAAAAGTTCATCATTGCCAGATGGAACCAGATAGTTGATTACCCTCAGAGGACACGACGGAATCAAGAGAGTCACGTCCAAGGAATAAGGATCGATAACCACAGGCGTTCCGTGAAAACAGGATGCATAAAACCTGCCTCTAAAAGTGACTAAATCCCAGCATGAATTATTTGGGACGTTCTCAAGCCGCTTCCATCTCATTTCACCACTGGTTAACACCAACAAATCATTAGTGCAGTTGAGAAGCACAACGAATTCTCCTCCACCTTCCTTGTTTAGTGGAAGAAAAGCCACACGTTTGTAGTCTTCAGGTTCCCAACCCAACATTCTGTACTGATAGCCTAGCGAGAGAATCTGGCAGTCGAGCATGTTCACCAAGGTTTGCTCAGATGATCCTGGGATCTTCACTGAGCACTGAATAAGAGATGGAAGCTCTGCTTGACCCTCTGACTCATCTCTACGGCCTATCCCTCCCAAGATATACTCACAAGAAGAAGAAGGAGTATTGACACTAAAGAGGAACAAAGGGATCTTCTTGAGGGTGCACAAGCCTTCGTTTTCAAGAGAGAACTCATTGAACGTGGGAAGAGAGTAACTTGGCGATAGTAGGCTACAAGGAAAGGCAAATGTGGATCGCCAAGAGCTGCAAACAGAGCGAGCATGAACTACATCGAAACAGTTGTCCATCTTCTCGGTGATAATCTGAAGTAACTCGTCAGGGAGAAGAGACCAGTCTGGCATCAATGATGGTCCAGTTGCAGGTTTTACCATGTTTGGTAATGGAGACATCGAGACGGCTGCCTTTTAGGGTTTAGGAAACTGTAATCAAACATGAACAGAGAAGACTAATCAAATAACAGACTACATGCAATGCTATTTAAATGGTTTAAAACTGATCGAGTTACAGTAATACTGTTTTCTGAATGCATAAACATAGACTACAATAACAGAGGATCAAACAAAATTCCAGAATTCGGTAAAAAAGAAGGTGGAGTAAAAGCATGTACCCAAACCCTAGATTAGATGTTTAGAACTCTGCTCTGAATGTTTATGTGTTGTTTATTGACCCTCAAAGTAACGATGCATATATATATGTTCTGGATAAACATAAATAAGTTGATACTTCTAATAGGAAAAGGAAATATTTCAAAGGATCTATGATATAAACCTATTAGGAAAAGAAAATAGAGAAAACATAAAACATGTCAAATCCTTTGATGATAGCAAATTACACCGGAATCTCAAAAACACTAGAGAGGCCTAAGCTTGTGGGATTCTTCAACATTATTACTCTTGAGTAACATTCCACACCTAATTCCATCGTGGCAGACCAAGACAGACCGGACTGATTTTGTTACATACCAATAATATGTATTATCTTCTAAAATCTTGAGAAAATCAGCCAAATTGTACCTCGTTGTGAGTTTTCCTTTCATGAACAGCTTCATTATCACCATAAATAGGGACATGTTCCTCATGATCAACTCCAAACGCAACTGACAAGAAAACAGATGATAGGGTATAACAAGTTCAACTGAAAAGTCATCCAAGGTGACGCATTACCTGCTGCAGATTGAGGAGTATAACAAGTTCACATGGTTCTGATTTGAAGAACTTTTGGTCAAACACATAAAAGATTAAAACACATATAGCATCACAGATTCACAGATGACAAGAACTTTTGTTTTTGAAAAACAGAACCAACAAATATCTCAGGTGTACAAAGTTAGATTTTGCTCAACCGAAAACAACATTGACTTCCCAGTCACACCACAACAAATAAACAAAGCCAACATATGTCTCAAGCATCCAAGGTTAGGTTTTACGGCTTAGTACACAGCCCGGATATGAGCAGAGCCAAAACCAGGAGATGACCTTGAGCAGTGCTCAACTCGGAGATGAGCAGCCATCGGAGAATTGCTGACGATCGTCACACAAGTCTCTCTACAGGATCTCCAAAAACTGAGATCGTCTTCTGCGTTTCCTGTATCTACTCCATATTTATAAGAGAATGTTTCACCAAAGAGCTCGCTGATGAACAAAATCGAGTCCCCACTCACACCACAACCATCAGGAAGCTCCTTAGCCGAGCAGGAGCTATTCCCCGGCTGTCCAATAAACAACACACGGTCTCCCAACTCGCTGACCACAACCCATTCACCAGCCTCCTCATCTAGCCTACTCACTCTACATGGTAACTTGCTCAAATACAGTGCATTATTAGAACGAGTATAGATTCTCTCAATCAAGAAAAGTTCATCGTTTCCAGCTGGAACCAGATAGTTGTGTGAGGTCAGACGCTCCGCGGGCATCAGTGGAGTCTCTTTCAGCGAATAAGGATCGATAACAGAAACGTCGCTGTTAAGATAGACTACATAAAACTTGCCTCTGAAAGTGACTAAATGGTCACAGTCAGCTCCAGAGGCATTCTCAAGGCGCATCCACCTCATTTCACTACTTCTTAATGCCCACAAAGCATTAGAGTAGCCGATAAGCACTACGAACTCTCCTTCTCTTCCCTCCTTGTTTACCGGAAGAAAAGCCACGCCTCTGAAACTTGTTGCCAGTGAGTTTGGATCATAACCAATCATTCTGTATTGATAGCCGAGAGGGAGAGTCTGAGAGTCGACCATGTTCATCAAGGTTGGATCAGGTTCTCCGATCTTCACTTTCACTGAGCACTGAATAGGAGATGGACGCTCGACACGATCCTCTGACTTGTCTTGGTTAATCCCTCCAACATAAAACTCAGAAGGCAACGCATCAGCAGCAGAAGGAGGAGACCGGACTCTGAAGAGAAACGTAGGGAACTTCTCGAGGGTGCATAAGCTTAAGCCTCTTCTTTTGCGAGGGGACTTTGCAAATGACGGAAGAGAATACCTTGTGGAGGATAGATACGAAGGAAAGGGGAATATGGATCTCCACGGGCGGCAAACAGAGCGAGCATGAATCGCATCGAAACCGTCCTCTACCTTTAGAGAGATAATGTGCAGTAGCTCT